CCCCCCCCTCTCTCTCTATCTCTCTCTCTCTCTCTCTCTCTCTCTCTCTCTCTCTCTCTCTCTCTCTTATAAACACACACACACACACACACGCACGCAATTGCAAAAAACAAATAAGCAAACAAGCAAACAAACAAACAAACACCAGCTCACCTGCCAGATTCCCCCGTGGTAGCCTGCCCTGTACGTGTTGGGGTTCAACCCGTTGCTAGAGCTTACATAAGCCAGCCTCCTCAGGAAGAGATAGTCGTTCTGGAAGACACAGGACTCTCGAATGAGCAACACCGTCGCCCTCACAACCGATTCCCCGGAACTTCCGGGTGCCCGGGTCAGATCCGTGCCAGCGTTTTGGCATGTCACCATGGAAACACAGCTCAGCAGCAACAGGAGGCCAAATGATATGCGTGTCGTCATTTTTGTCAAATGTATCGTCAGCTGTGATTCTGTTGTGGTAAGACACGAAGAAAGGAAGGAAAGAGTGAATTGTGATTATGGCTGATTGTTTTTCTAGAGGTCCAGATACTTTGAAAATGTTGTGACCGTGGCTCGGTAGAAGATCGGAAACATCCGAGGAAAGTGAAAAAAGACGTCAGAAGTCGCTTATGGTGATAGACAAACAATAATGTTGACAAAATGTTCATGACTTGTACATGTATTCAATATGTCTCCCTAATTTAATGCAGGTGAAGGTTTTTTGGGGTCAGTAGGTACATTCATGCAATGGGTCGAAAAAGGGTAATAGTAATAGAACAGATTTAATAGGGCAGAGAGAAATCTGAACGAAGCTCAGTTTGGATTTCAAATGGGAAGAGCATGAATCGATGCTGTATTCGCATTTGACAACCATACATGTAAACCATTGAACACAACAACGAATCCGACATGTCGTTATAAACCATGAGAAGGCTTTTGACAGAGTAAACCATACAAAACTCTGGAAGATATTCGAGAAGTATGACGTCAGAGGACAATTCTCAGATAATGTCAGAGCTCTGTATACCAACAACAGAAGCTCAGTAAGAACGAAGGAAGGCAATACAGACTGGTTCAAAGTAAGATCTGGGGTACGACAGGGATACGTTTTATCTCCCCTCTTGTTTATTATATATTAATTATGTGGACACAATAACACAAGACAAACCAAAGCCCAGAAAGCCTAAATTTTAATTAACTTCTATGCAAAGACGACCAATGTCTTATTCATCCAAACCAACAAACCTCCAATATCATACTACTGAACTGAACAACAGCTGCAAGAAATCTAACATAAAAAATAAGCTCATCAAAAACAAAAGTTATGAAAGTGAGCCAAAACCATAGTCCCCTGAACATCCATATCAATAGTAAACTACTGAAACAGATGAAGGAGTTTTCATATCTTGGCAGCACTTTTTCTGAAAACGTTTCCATAGACAGAGAAATAGAAATGCGAACTCAAAAAGCCAACGCTGTCACCTGTCAGCTCACTTCAAATCAAACATCTCCATGGACACAAAGAGACAGTTTATCACTTACATATTCATACCAACATTATGCTGCTAGTGCCAGACCTGAACATTAAGTAAAACACATAGAATCTAAAAGAAAAATCTCTGAAGGCGAAATTAAATGTATCCGCAAAACCCTTAACATCACAAGACGAAACAGGCAGAGAAATGAAAAAGTATGAGCAGCTATTGGTACTGAGTCCTACCTGCATTTAATAGAAAGACATAGAATACAACGGTTCAGCCCCCTGTTACGAATGTTACCTAGCCAGCCAGCCCCGAGAGCCTATAACACCAAGTACTCAGGCTACAAAGGAAGAGGAAGGCCACGCAAAAGGTGGGCTGAGGGTGTCAAGTAAACCCTGAAAAATCACAATATCCAGACTGAATGAGCTGCAGAGCTGGCCTACCATAGAAAAATGCATCTCCCCAGGACGATTAATGGCAACAGAGAATGAAAAAGTAAAAGTAAGTAAGTGATGTATAGTAGGGGATCCAAACTCATGTCCAATAGAGCCCCCCCCC